CAGGCCTGTAATCAGGAGGCTGAAGCAGGAGAATCGCTTGATCCCAGGAGACAGAGGTTGCAGTCAGCTGAGATCATGCCACTGCACTCCAGCCTGGGAAACAGTGAGACTCCATCTCAAAATTAAATAAAAAAATATATAGATAGCACTTACAGCATGCCTACATAGATCAATATGATCTTTAGTTTTGTTTTGTAAATGAAGACCCCTTCTTTTACCTGCCCCTGCAGGCTTCCTTCCTCTGAGATTTTGATCATTCCTCCTGTCTCCATCCCCTCTTTCGTGACCAGAGGAGGAGCCTGTCCAGCCTCTTATTCTGTGTGCTGAAATAGCATCACCCAGGCTCTTAATGATACTCTGTGGCCTGTGGTAACAGTCTATTGACACGTTTGGCAAAAAATAGACAAAAGCAATATTGCTTCAAAAATTATTTTTGGCTGAATGCAGTGGCTCACATCTGTAATCCCAGCACTTTGGGAGGCTGAGGTGGGCGGATCATCCGAGTTCAGTAGTTCAAGACCAGCTTGGCCAACAGGGTGAATCCCCATCTCTACTAAAAATACAAAATTAGCTGGGCATAGTGGCAGATGCCTGTAATACCAGCTACTTGAGAGGCTGAGGCAAGAGAACTGCTTGAATCCAGGAGGCGGAGGTTGCAGTGAGCTAAGAACATGCCACTGCACTCAAGCCTGGAGGACAAAGCAAGACTGTCTAAAAAAAATTTTTGGAGCTCAACATCCTTGGCATTTGAATCATTTTCTGGTATAGACATCTTAGCAACACGTATTCCTTTTTGTTTAGTATGATGTAGGCCTGGTGTAGACACAGTTTTTAAAAATTTAAGAACTTTAAATACCTTTTTTCTTTTTTTTTCCACTGTCCTCAGAGCAAGAAGATCAGAATTAAATACCTTTTGATCTCATCCTGTTGCTTCCAAGAAAGCTCCTTCACCAACATGTGATCTTCGCGAAGTCGAAATAAACTGTGCTCCAGTTCCTCCCGGTTCATCCTGCTGAAGGGTGGTTGAGTTTTCATATTCTTACCTAAAGTCCCGGAAGAGAGTAAATGATCAGTATTTTTACATGTATTTTTTTTTTTTTAACCCTTCTGGTCTCTCATCACATCTTGCCCAGAGAGCATAAATATTTTGAGTCAAGTATTTATGAGGAAATTCACAAAGTATAAGAAATGACTCCAGCTGGGTGCAGTGCTCACACCTGTAATCCCAGCACTTTGGGAGGCTGAGGCAGGTGGAACACAAGGTCAGGAGTTCAAGACCAACCTTGCCAACATGGTGAAATCCTGTCTCTACTAGAAATACAAAAATTAGTTAAGCATGGTGTCGGGCACATAGAATCCCTGTTACTCTGAAGGCTGAGGCTGGAAAATTGCTTGAACCCAGGAGGCAGAGATTGCAGTGAGCCGAGATTGTGCCGCTGCACTCCATCTTGGACGACAGAGCAACACTCCGTCTCAAAAAAAAAAAAAAAAGGAAATGACTCCTAGTGGAGGCTCTTTTCTATATTATTACAGCATGAGGGTGTGACTCAACCCTCCACCTAGAAAGTACATTCTCTAGATAACAATATCCAATAAGACTTATTCTACTTATTTTCTTTTGAGACAGAGTCTCGCTGTCACCCAGGCTCAAGTGCAGTGGCGCAATCTCGGCTCACGGGTTCAAGAGATTATCCTGCTTCAGCCTCCAGAGAGACTAGGATTACAGGCACCTGCCACCACGCCCAGCTCGTTTTTGGATTTTTAGTAGAAATGGGCTTTCACCATGTTGGCCAGGCTGGTCTCCAACTCCTGACTTCAGGTAATCCACCTGCCTCGGCCTCCTTAAGTGCTGGGATTACAGGCATGAGACACTGCGACTTGTCTATTTTTATATTCTTATTAGAAAATTTAGACCTAGACAAGGATTGTTCCCATGACTGTCTTCAGAAACCCAGTAAGGAAAAGGATAAAAACTTTTCTTGAGCCTGGGTGTGGTGGCTCATGCCTGTAATCCTAGCACTTTGGGAGGCCGAGGCAGGTGGATCACCTTAGGTCAGGTGATTGACCTGACCAACATGGAGAAACCCCATCTCTACTAAAAATACAAAATTAGCTGGACGTGCCTGTAATCCCAGCTACTCGGGAGGCTGAAGCAGGAAAATCGCTTGAACCCAAGAGGCACATGTTGCAGCGAGCCAAGATCCAAGATTGTGCCATTACACCCCAGCCTGGGTAACAAGAGCAAAACTCCAGCTCAAAAGCAAAACAAAAAAACAAAACTTTTGATTATCAAGAACCATCTTATTTTTCTGGTCAGGAAAAACTGTCCCCAAAGCTACCTCCTTAGACAGGATCCTTTGCTTGCTCTAAGCAGAGGAAACTAGAGCACACTTTTCAGTGGGGAGTGTTCACGAGCCCTGGTCTGCTCTGATCTCATGGTGAATGGGAACCAGTTATTAATATTATTATTTACACAGAGTCTGTCACTGTTGCCCAGGCTGAGTGTAGTGGCGCAGTCTTGGCTCACTGCAACCTGCGTTTTCCTGTCTCCCGGGTTAAAGAGATTCTTGTGCTTCAGCCTCCCGAGTAGCTGGGATTACAGGCACATGCCACCTAGCTCAACTAGTTTTTATATTTTTAGTTACCCAGTACCAGCTCGGATGTAAAGAATCCCACCTTGGCAGTGCTGAAGGAACTGAGCAGCGGACACTCAGAACAGCAAAGTAGGGCTGAGGGGCCACCAGCCTTCCAAGCTGACAGCCTCAGAGACTGACAGCATTCTAGGCTGAAGGCCCCGAGAAGACGCTGACCCAGGCTTTTAGTCTCTCTGAACAGGTGATCATTATTAACAAACAGGTGTTCGGTATTTTCTCATAACACAAAACATGCCAGGTAGACAGCTGGTGCCCGCTTACCACTGATCACAAACAACCTAAAAAGTATTCTGCACGAGGGAGCTGTGGGGGCAGGGTCAGATAGCTTAAATAATTGTTTTAACAGGTGTATGATATCTATATATTGTCGTGCCACTTTGGAATGCCCCAAGTAGTTTTCTACTTGGGAGGGGGCAGCTAGGTTTTCCTTGCCATCGTTCTTCCTAGCAAACAATATATTCTATCATACACTCAGCATTCGTTAATATTCATAAACTTAACATTTCTCAACATCAATATTCATACACGTTACATTTCTCAACATTTAGTAGAGACGAGCCTTCACCATGTTGGCCAGGCTGGTCTCAAACTCCTGACCTCAAGTGATCGCTCCATCTCAGCCTCCCAAAGTGTTAGGATTACAGGCGTGGCCACCACACCAGGACACGAACCATCTTAAAATCCCAGAATAAAAAAGACAGCTTCTTTCCACACTGGGAAGAAGGAGGGCTCAAACCTTTGGTCTCAGAACCACCTCAGTCATCACCATCACCTCATTGATCTATCCTTTGGAAGATGACATGAAAATTTTCAAAGAACAGCTTTGTTGAGGTATAATTGATATGTAATTCACTGTACATATTTAAAGTGAAAATTTGGATTAATTTTGACATTTGTGTATACCTGTGAAACCACCACCACAATTAGGGTAATGAACATATTCTACATTTCCAAGTTTCCTTGCATCCATTTGTAATCCATTCCTTCCCACCCTACTCCAACCTAAACTTACCCTGCCTTTGTTCCCAGGAATCAACAAATACGTTTTATGTCATTGTAGATTAGTTTCCATTTTCTAGAATTTTACTTATTCTTTTTAATTTTTTTGAGAAAAAGTCTTGCTCTTGCCCAGCTGGAGTGCAGTGGCACAGTCTTGGCTCACTGCAACGTCTGCCTCCCAGGTTCAAACATTTCTCCTGCCTCAGCTCCTGACTAACTGGGACTACAGGTGTGCGCCACCACGCCCAGCTAATTTTTGTTTTGTTAGTAGAAATGGGGTTTCACCATGCTGACCAAGCTGGTCTCAAACACCTGACCTCAAGTGATACACCTACCTTGGCCTCCCAAAGTGTGGGGATTACAGGTGTGAGCCACCCCACCTGGCCACTATTTTCTAGAATTTTACATAGATCAATTAATCCACTGTGTACCTTTTTTTTGGTCTGACTTCTTTCACTCATTATAATTATTTTGCGATTGATTCACGGTATTTCATAGGTCAATAGTTCCTTTTTTTTTTTTTTTGAAATGGAGTTTTACTCTGTCACCCAGGCTGTAGTACAATGGTGTGATCTCGGTTCATTTCAACTTCCACCTCCCAGGTTCAAGCAATTCTCCTGCCTCAGCCTCCTGAGTATCTGGGATTACAGGTATGTGCCACCATACCTGGCTAATTTTGTATTTTTAGTAGGGATGGGATTTCTCCAAGTTGGTCAGGCTGGTCATCAACTCCCAACTTCAGGTGATCCGCCCACCTCAACCTCTCAAAGTGCTGGGATTATAGGCGTGAGCCACTGCGCCCAGCTTCAATAGTTCATTTTAATTGCTGAGTAATATTGTATGAACATACCATATTTATCCATTCACTTTTTTTTCATTATTCTTCCTAACATATTCTATCACATATCCATTCACGTTTTTAAAAATATTCACTTATTGTTGATCGGCATTGAATCGTTTCCATTTTTGGCTATTACTGTTACAGCTGCTATGAACATCTATGTACAAGTCTTTGTGTGGACATGTTTCCGTTTCTTTTGGGTAAATAGAAAAGTATAAAACAGTTGAGTCACAAGATAGGTGTATGTTTAATTTTTTTTTTTTTTTTTGAGATGGAGTTTCGATCTTATTGCTCAGGCTGGAGTGCAAGGGTGTGATCTTGGCTCACCACAACCTCTGCCTCCCGGGCTCAAGTGATTCTCCTAACTCAGCCTCCCAAGTAGGTGGGATTACAGGCATGCACCAACACCCCTGGTAATTTTATATTTTCAGTAGAGATGGGGTTTCTCCATGTTGGTCAGGCTGGTCTTCAACTCCTGACCTCAGGTGATCTGCTCACCTCAGCCTCTCAAAGTGCTGGGGTTACAGGCATGAGTCACCTGCTCCCCACCTGTTTTTTTTTTTTTTTTGAGATGGAGTCTGGCTCTGTTGCCCAGGCTGGAGCGCAATGGTATGATCTCAGTTCATTGCAACCTCTGCCTGCTGGGTTCAAGCGATTCTCCTGCCTCAGCCTCTTGATTTGCTGGGATTATAGGTATGAGCCACCACGCCCAGTGAATTTTTATATTTTTAGTAGAGATGGGATTTCACCATGTTGGTCAGGCTGGTCTCCAACTCCTGACCTCAAGTGATTCACCTGCCTTGGCCTCCCAAAGTGCTGGGATTACTGGCATGAGCCACCATGCCTGGCCTATATTTAACTTTTAAAAAGACTACCAAACTGTTTCACAAAGTGATTATACCATTTGCTATTCCCACCAGCAGTGTATGAGAGTTCTAGTTCCTCCACATCCTTGCCAATACTCTTTTTAAATTTAGACATCCTAGTGGGTATGTAGTGGTTTTAATTGTATTAATTTTCATTATTATGTTACACTTCTCTAATAACTGATTATATTGAACATTTTATGTGCTTATTTGCCATTAATATAGTTTTTGTTTGGTTTTTGTTTTTTGAGACAGGGTCTTGCTCTCCCAGCACTTTGGGGGGCTAAAGAAGGCAGATCATGAGGTCAGGAGATCGAGACCATCCTGGCCAACATGGTGAAACCCTGTCTCTACTAAAAATACAAAAAAGCTAGCTGGGCATGGTGGCACGTGCGTGTAATCCCAGGTACTTGGGAGGCTGAGGCAGGAGAATTGCTTGAACCTGGGAGGTGGAAATTGTGGTGAGCCAAGATTGAACCACTGCACTCCAGCCTGGGTGACAGAGCAAGACTCTGACTCAAAAAAAAAAAAAAAAGAAAAAGAAATTCCTTTAAATTCCCTAATGTAGTCTTATCTATTTGTGACATCAAAAGTTTTTTTTTCTCCAAAAACAATGTTTGTGAGGTAAATTCCAGATGCTTAGAATGAAAAAAAAATACAACTTCCAAATCAAAGACCCTGAAAAATAATGTTGCTAGGTAAACTAGGAAAGTAGGGTCACTAGGAAGAAAATTGTAATATGACCATATGCCTTTATGAAAATCTTTATTATGACAAATACTTAGGCCAGGTACGGTGGCTTATGCTTATGATCTCAGCACTTTGGGAGGCCATAGTGGGCAGATAGGTTGAGTTGAGGAGTTTGTTTTTTTTTCTTATATTTATTTATTTTTTTAATGTTTTTATTTTTTTATTTTTTGTTTTTTCTTTGCTTTTTGTAGAGTTCAGGAGTTTGAGGCCAGCCTGGGCAACACAGTGAAACCTCTCTCTACAAAAAAACAGGCGTGGTGGCGTGTTCCTGTAGTCTTAGCTACTCGAGAGGCTGAGGCTAGAGGATTGCTTGAGCCTAGGGAGGCAGAGGTTGCAGTGAGCCGAGATCGCACCACTGCACTCCAGCCTGTGTGATAGGGCAAGACCCTGTCTCAAAAAAATAAAAAAATAAAAAGAGAGTACTTCACTTACTTTTAGTTATTCACAAAAAACAGAAGTGAAATTGGACATGTTTGTAATGAAACCTAGAAAAGCTTCTTTTTTCACAAAGTAAGCGTGTAAATTTGCCCTTTCTCATCTTCCATTTTTCTTTTATGGTACTGGAGAAAAATATTGAATTCTTTTTAGCTTTTTGGTTATGTGGGTGGTTTCCAAACTGACTGGAACTCTCCAGGTAGGTCGTTCCTGAACAAAGGTTTCCTGTCACTAGTTCTATGACCCTTCCAGTTTGAAAAATTATGTCAGTCAATTCATGTTTCATGGACTTTGTCTGCAGAACAGTTAAAGCTTTGAGAAGCACAAAATTCTCAATTGTGTACAAAATATACAAAGAACTCTTACAACCAATAATATAAAGACAAATAATCCAATTTAAAAATTGGCAAAACTGGCCACTGAATTAAAAAGAAAATTGGCAAAGCACCTGAATAGCTCCTGAACAAAAAAACACTGCTATGAACATTCTAGTATATGTCTCCTGGTACATATATGCAAGAGTTAATTTCTGCAAATTTTTTTTATTTTGAGATGGAGTTTTGCTCTTGTTGCCCATGTTGGAGTGTAATGGTGCAATCTCAGCGCACCACAACCTCTGCCTCCCGGGTTCAAGCGATACTTCTGCCTCAGCCTCCTGAGTAGCTGGTATGCTATAGGCATGTGCCACCACGCCCAGCTAATTTTGTATTTTCAATAGAGACAGGGTTTCTCCATGTTGGTCAGGCTGGTCTTGAACTCCCGATCTCAGGTGATCCAATTGCCTCGGCCTCCCAAAGTGCTGAGATTGCAGGTATGAGCCACTGTGCCCAGCCAATTTCTGCAAATTTTATACACAGAAGTAGAATTACATGTTTAACTTTACTAGATAATGGCAAACATATTCCAAAATGGTTGCATCATTTATATACTCATGGGCAGTGCATAAAGTGCCCTATCCTCAAAAAATAATTTTATAAAAGTGAAGTCAAGTGAAAATAGAATCAATAGTAGCTATGATTAGGATTGAAGAATGGGAAAGTGTAACAATATTACAAAAATAACTTTTTAGGTTGTTTTAGAGTTAGGGTACTGCTTTGTTGCCCAAGCTGGTTTTAACTCCTGGCCTCAGGTGATCCTCCTACCTCAGCCTCTTGAGTAGCTGGGATTACAGGTGTGAGCCCCCACGATTGGCCAAAGTTACAAAAATATCTTAAATCTTGTGTGGAAGAAGCTCTGGTAGGGCTAAGCCCTTTTATCTTAAATTGCATACTTCTGCTTAGTGGAAGTGAAGGGCTAAGGGCTGATCACATGGATAGGTGAATGAAACCCACTGGTTTATTCTTAGCTTTGGTTGTACTGTTTGTGGTGGTTGTATTTAGCTTTACCTTCTAAGCCTACACAATAATAATTTTATTATAAGAATTTGAGAATAAGGCTGGATGTGGTGGCACACGCCTGTAGTCTCAGCACTTTGGGTTGCCGAAGCAGGTAGATCACTTGAGGTCAGGAGTTCAAGACTAGCCTGGCCAATATGGTGAAACACTGTCTCTACTAAAAATGCAAAATTGGCAGGCATGGTGACGACTGCCTGTAGTCCCAGCTACTCGGGAGGCTGAGGTAGGAGAATAGCTTGAACCTGGGAGGTGGAGGTTGCAGTGAGCCGAGATCAGGGCCACTACACTCCAGCCTGGGCGACAGAGTGAGAGTGAAACTCCATCTCAAAAAAAAAAAAAAAAAAAAAGAATTTAAGAATAAAATATGAGAAGAGGGCCAGGCACGGTGGCTCACACCTGTAATCCCAGCACTTTAGGAGGCTAAGGTGGGTAGATCACTTGAGATCAGGAGTTCAAGACCAGCCTAGTGGGTGGATCACTTGAGGTCAGGAGTTCAAGGCCAGCCTGGTCATCATGATGACACCCTGTCTCTACTAAAAATACAAAAACTAGACAGGCGGGGTGGTGCATGCCTGTATCCCATCTACTTGAGAGGCTGAGACAGGAGAATCACTTGAACCCAGGAGTTGGAGAGTCGGAGGCTGCAGTGAGATCTTGCC